AGAGAGAGAGAGAGAGAGAGAGAGAGAGAGAGAGAGAGAGAGAGAGAGAGAGAGAGAGAGAGAGAGAGAGAGAGAGAGAGAGAGAGAGACCACTTGCAATATTGGACAACATGTGCGAGGCTTTACTTTTCACAGTATACACGCCCTGTCCATGGCATACGACAAACCCTGCCGCGACCACCCTTCTGCCTCACTGCTCAGGTAATCATCTCAGCCACTATCCATCATATATATACTCTCCCAGAGGTCCAAGTACTTCCTATCCTTCTAGTCTATTCCCGTGCAGATTCCTCACATCATCCGCGTCGAAGTCACTGTCGTCGTCCGTCCTTCACTTGATCTTGACCTTGATCTCAGCGTCGTCTGTCGTGTTATGTCTCATTCTTCGTGTCATGTCTCAACCTTCGCGTCGAACTTTCCTCTGAATGAGATCACATAACTGATGTCTGAACAAATCCATGTATGCATACCTACTTTGTTTATTTCATTTGTCTGTGCAACATTCGTGCGTGAAATTTCGTTCGATTTGGTTCACAGGTGAGTTATATTTCATTTCATTTTCATTTTCATTTTCATTTTCATTTTCATTTTCATTTTCATTTTCATTTTCATTTTGATTTTGATTTTCATTTTCATTTTCATATTTATTTGTTCATTTTTCGTACGAAATTCCCGGTACTTCATTCGTTTCGTTTCTCTTCATTTCTCGTTTCGTATGTTGTGGAATTTGTACGGTACTTCTGTACTTATATTCTGGATACGCGGTCAGTTTCAGGCATTTCAGATACGGTACCTGGGCTACTGATTTTTCCAGTCTGGCCGCGCGGTCAGATTCAGATATTTCGGAGTTACTTTGGACCTTCGTACTTATATTCTTACTGTGGTCGCTTGGTTACTTCATGCATTTTGGAATATGTGACTTGAGACGTGAGATGTTATAGCTTAGTTATCCTTCGTGTCTGTTGCTTTCTTTCGCCTCATTGCTTTCTGTCTTCTTCCTACAGGAATTTCAAGAAGTGTTGTCGTATCTCATTATGTTTGCAGTTTCTGATGAAAGCGAGTCAAGCCGTTCGTGACACTCTCCAAGGATATTCCATGATATTGAGTTCTGTCGCGTATAGTTTCATTACCGCTGGTAAATCAGATGGGTCGTAAGTGTTGGCGACCATTCTGTGCAGTGTGCCAAGTATCGTGAGTACCTTGGTTTTCACCGACCCCACGCTCCTGAAGTGCCGGATAGATCTCAGAGAGAGAGAGAGAGAGAGAGAGAGAGAGAGAGAGAGAGAGAGAGAGAGAGAGAGAGAGAGAGAGAGAGAGAGAGAGNAGAGAGAGAGAGAGAGAGAGAGAGAGAGAGAGAGAGAGAGAGAGAGAGAGAGAGAGAGAGAGAGAGAGAGAGAGAGAGAGAGAGAGATTTTAGGGCACGAGAAGCAGAAAATGGAATGGGGAAAGTGGTGCAGGTACAAAAGGGGAGGAGAGTAGGACGAATTTGGTTGCCAGGATACAGCAGTTATAGTGTCATGTCATTGCTGGTGTGCATTTGTTTCATTGGAACTGGGAACTGTGGCATCCCCCTTTCCTTTCAAAGACCTGCGAATGATATTATGAGTCATTAATCATCCATTTGCCAACAGCTACAGACAAGTGTGTTTGGCACCGTTTCCGTCATTTCATTGTTCGACTGTTGTCCGCAGGTCCTTTGCAAGTGGTTAGTTGGGACCCCCACGTTTCTGTGTTTTGTCTACTGCTTAAGACAGCAAAATGGGTGTTTGATGGATGAAGTTTTGTTGATTTCACCCCCTCTTTTCGCCTCTTAGCAAGGGGGCTTTGTGGTTCCTCAGCTGCAAGCGGCCGCGGTCGCGGTGTCTGTCTCGGGAACGCCATCGCTTCGTCTCCCTCGTCTTTTTCATCGTCTCTCCTTACAGCAGCGCCACCTTCACCACCGAGGCGTCTTCAAAGAAGCGCGGTACACATACGGCGTCCAACTCCGGCAACATATCTGACTTTTTTTTTTTTTTTTTTTTTGTGGAAAAAGGCTCCAATCTGACAGTTGCTTGATGTCAGGTGATCAGAACAAATCGACGAAAATGCCAGCCGCCATGTTTTGTTGAAGGTCAAGGGTACGGGCCCGGGGAAGATGGGCATGGAAGAGGCCGAGGTCGTTCATCATCGAATTAGAATGATGCGGACTTCGCGCAATGTGAAGAACCGTGAGAAAGTGTGCACCGACTTAATCAAAGGCGCAAAGGAGAAGCGCTTGAAGGTCAAGGGTCCAGTGAGGATGCCTACCAAGGTTCTGCGTAGCACGACAAGGAAGTCTCCTTGCGGAGAAGGTACGAACATGTGGGATTCTTTCGAGATGAGAATTCATAAGAGGCTGATTGACCTCCACAGTCCATCGGAAGTCGTCGAGCAGATTACATCCATCAGTATCGAGCCGGTGTAGATTACCTCCATCAGCATCGAGCCGGTGTGGAGGTTGAAGTCACGATCAACGATGTGGCGTAAGCGAGCCCCCCCTCGTCACGAGAAGGAGAGGTGAAGGGAGAAGTAGAGGCTGGATGACGGGACGAATACGCACGACGAGATGCCCAGATTGTGAGAGAGAAAGGGAGAAGAACCCCTTCTCCACCTTCCAAGCAGGATAGGATATGGCTCTGAACTCTATTCTCTTAATGGCATACGATTGTTGATGGTCGGATTTTTGAGTAGATTGATTTCCCCCCCCTCCCCCCCCAAAAAAACAAAAAAAAAAGCAAGGGGGCTTTGTGATTTCAGCAGCAGTTTTAAATTATTTATTTATTTATTTATTTCGTGGCCCGATGGACCACGGATCAGATATTAAACTGATCAAAACAGATACTACACTTGATCTTAGCCAGTTTCAAAATTTTCTTTTTTTTGCCGTTTGTTTGGGGGGGGGGGGGGAAGGAGGGGGGGGAAAGAGAGGGTGCAGAGAATTTACGGTTTGTGCGATCTCAGTTTTCAGCAGCAAGGACTGTAAATAGTAAATTCTGAAGTGATATTGTGGCATACTGCGCAGCCACACGGGCTTGCAGGGCCCGACCAGCGTTCTCAGCCTAAAAGCCTGAAAACAAGGGCCTACAGGCCCTGTGTCGTTTCAACCTAAAAGCCTGAAAACAAGGGCCTACAGGCCCTGTGTCGTTTCAGCCTAAAAAGGGCCCTCCATGCCCTGAGTCTTTTCAGCCTGAAACGGAGGGCCATTTTCAGGCCCTCGTAAGATCGACCTGCCCTGAAACTTAGGCACCAGACCAGGGTTTTAGCACAGGCCATTTTGGGCCTGTTTTCAAGACAACCTTCGTTTGAACTTCAACGCCAGGGTCTGGCACGTTTTGGCATTGGCAAGAGCAGCCTCCTGGACGGGCCAGCACTATATAAGACTGGCCCACCCTGCAGGCTGCAGGCAGTCACGAGGGAGTTCATAGGGACTTCCCAGGCACTTCACGTGCAGGAGGCAGGAGGCAGTCTTCAGGATTCGGCAGCAGCACTCTGGAGGAGTGCTGCAGTAGTAGTAGTAGCGTTAGCAGTAGTCTTCAGCGCTGGGCGCTATTAGGAGCTAGAGTTGCGTTGGAGAGAGAGAGATGGTTGGCGGAGGCCAGGGAGACTTGCCTGTGGTGCCATAGCTCCAGCTTCGTCTTCGATGTACCTGCAACAAGGCGCCACCCTCATAGGTTAGTACCGGACTCTGAGAGAGAGAGAGAGAGAGANAGAGAGAGAGAGAGAGAGAGAGAGAGAGAGAGAGAGAGAGAGAGAGAGAGTTCTTCTTCTTCCTCTTCTAAGTCCACCATCTCTCCCTGACCCTCTTGCTACCTCACTTCTCAGTATCTGCAGACTACAAGAGAGAGAGAGAGATTGGTGACTTTGGGACTTGACGACATTTGGATCCAGACTCCACATTGGGATTGAGACACTGGACGAGGGATTATTTGGGATCTGTACTGAAGACTTGGTGTTGACGACATTCCCATCTTCCCCTCTTCTTCGTCTAACCCGCATCTTCTTCGTCTGTGTGAGCGCCAGGCCCCTTCACACCATGGAATGATGATGATGTATGTTTGGTCTGCATTGCAGCATTGATTGTTCGGATCATTGGTATATTAGCCTTCCGCTGCGCTATCTTGTACTATGTGAGAGAGGTCGGTTCTTGTTCTGGTCTGCACCTTTACGGTATGCAACAGATATTGACTGCGGACGGTTTCTTTGGCATTTGCTTTTTTTTTTTTTTTTTTCTGCATTCATGGCTGATGAAAGTGCAGGCGAAGTGTCTTCTTTGACCATTCAATTCCCTTTCCTGTATTTTCCAAGACAACAATACCATGCGGCCGGCACTCCAAATGGCATATTATGCACACCTTCTCTGTCTTCTTCTCCCTCTTCTCCTCCCACTTCTTCTTCCTCCTCTTCTGGCACCCATCGATGGTGTGATGGCACAACCATGGCGGGCCCAAGACCAGCGGCAAGACCCCGCTGTGCAGAAGATCCGGTATCACCATGCACATGATTTTGAAACTGAGGTAAAGGGGAATGGCGATGATGATGATGCTGCATCTGGAGCGTCGGATTTCCACTCAGAGATGCCGTGGCATATTGGAGGGCTACCAACAGTAAATTTAACAATCAAGGCCGGTTCCAAGGAATGGCAGGTGCCAGACACACTCTTTGGGGTGTTCTTTGAGGTGAGTTTAAAAAAAGTTTGATAACCTCCTTCGTCAATTTTTTTTCTCTTTTCTTTTCTTTTCTTTCCTGAAGCGGCTGCGTGTCATGGGGATTGAATAATTCATCCATGTGTGGCGTTTTCCAACGTTCCTTCCTTTTTCAAATTTTCTTTTCTTTTCTTTTCTTTTCTTTCTTTTCTTTTCTTTTCTTTTCACTTGTCCTGCGCATATTATTTGCTTTTGAGCCTTTGGTTTACCTTACGTGAAATGGTAGGATGCGTCAAAAGAGGAAACTCAAGAAAGGAAAGGAGTAACCCCTACATGAAATGGTGGTTTCAGATCAATCACTATAACCCTGAACAACAGTCTATTGCTCCGCCCGTTGATTGATCCATCTGTTCTGCCTGCCCATCTGTCTATTTGGGTGCCCACCCGCCCAACCGTCCATCCTTTTCCCATCAAGAGGTTCCTGCTGCCCGCCCATCCATCGGCCCAGCTGATTTCCTAACCATTCATCCAGCTGTCTGCCTGCCAGCTCACCCACTCACCCACTCATCCACCCACCTGCCTCCTCGGCCTGTCTGCCAGCCCACTGATGCATATGCGTCTGCCCCTCCTTCCACCTGCCTGTCACCCAGCTTTGCACCTGCCTGCAAGTTCATCTGCCCATCCGTTCACCCACATGCCTGTCTCTGCCCATCCATCTGTCTACCCGTGCATCCATCCGCCCTTCTTCTTGCTTGCCTGCCCTTCCAATGGCTTGCCAATTCTCATTCCACCTGATTGCCTGCCTGCCTGCCAGCCTGCTGGCCCATCTGTCCGCCAATCCGCCCACGATGTCACTCGCCCATCCACCTACCTGTCTGGCTACCTGTCCTTATGCCGAACCCCCTCCTGCTGCCCCGTCCTTATTATGCCCACCCGTCCACCCATCTACCTTCCCACTGTTCTCGCTCATCCACCCATCCATCCATCTGTTTGCTCACCGATCCATCGCTCACCCCAATGCACCCACTCACTCAACTGCGTGCCCATCCTCGCCCCTCTGCTTGCCTGCCCGCTCGCCCATGGATGTGCCCCTCTGTGTGCCTGCCTGCCCATACCTTTCCCCCCCCTCCGCTTGCCCCTGTGTTCTGTCCATGCAGCCAGGGATCTTCTGGCTCAACCATCCATGCATCTACCCTGCTGATGCATCACTCCCCCACACACCCAACCTCTCACCTATCAACCCATCCATTCATTCATCGACGCATCCATCCATCCACCTCTCAGCCACTCTTCTACTGACCCTTCCACCCGCACAAGCCACTGACCCACCCTCCTTCCCTCCCTCTTTCCTTCCCCTTCGTCCTATCTCGGTAGTCCATCCAACTAGCCTCTCTATCTACCCACCCATCCACCCACCAGTCTACCAAGCTCGTGTTTCCTCTCTCCTCTCCATCAATCTGCTCATCCATTTGAGTTTTGAATTCCTTTCTCCCTCGCACGTCTTTTCGTCTAATCCTGTTGATGCTTCCGTACCCCTATCCGTCCTCCCCTTTAGCCCTCCTAACGTTCATTCCTCAATCTGTCCTTGAAGATAGACCTACTTTGTTGCCCCCATGACACTGGTAGCACCAGTGATCCGCAGACTCTGCAACCCACTTCTTCCTTCGGTCCGGCTGGCCTTCCGTGTGTCCATTGCTTGGCACACAAGGTCCATTTCAAACCATTCCAATTTTGTCAGTGGGGTAACCCTTGCTTGGACTACCGTCTTTATCCGAATAGAACGCCCGGTTATTATCACTGTATGTGGACCGCAATTTGGCCCAAATGCAGCTACAATGACCGGGCGACAGGCGCTCTATTCCGGTGAAGACGGTAGTCGCCTGAGATCATTGACCGGTCAACAACATGAAACAGATTCAGCGAGGTAACCACTCGCTATAAAATTCGCATTTTCTGATCATTTTCACACAAATTCGTTTTGTGCTTTCAGCTGGCTGTGGGGATCAAACACCTAACTGAACAACACCCACCCTCCGACGAGTCCGACGAGTCTGACGAGTCTGACATGTCTGACCTGAAAGGAGGCAGTGATGATAGTTTGGAGAATAGTAATAGTTTGCAGAACTATCACTGAGGCAAGGATGGTGTGCAGTTGATGATGGCATTTGGCTGATGTATTGTGTTCGGCGGAACGTCGGCCAGCTTAGACAGTATTCAATTCAGGATGTACTATGTAGTAGATTACGTGAACGATTTCGCCTCCCTTTCAAACCTCATGTGTTCTAACTTCTAATGTGTTGCAGGAGATCAATCATGCTGGCACTGGTGGAATGGATGCAGAGTTGGTACAGAACAGAGGTGAGAACAGAACATATGTGTGCACGGTTGGAATTCTGTAGAAAAGAATAGAGATCAACAAGGGTCTAGGGGGATTGCCCCATTTAAATCTAACATCATGAGATTTCTAGAGGGGTTTTGCCACTTCTGGACAGAAAAAAGAAAAAAAGAAAAAGAAAAGTGACTTATGCCATTCAGCAAAAAGGCACTCATCTCTTCAGTTCAGCTTATTATGAAGATAGCAGTGAAGTTGAGTGAAGTTGAGTGAAATTTTGCTCCCTTGTCTTCTAGTGTCCTTGTCAGTCTATGCAGTTTTTAAAGGGGTCCCCTGAGTTAGCCTACCGTCTTCACCCAAATAAAACGCCCGGTCATTATCGCTGTATTTAGACTGGAAGTTAGCCCAAATACAGCCATAATGACTGGGCATTCTATTTGGGTGAAGACGGCAGTGCAGGCAGCTCAGGTGCGAAGGTCAAAGGTCTGTGCTTTGACCATTGCCAAAGTGGTTGTGCCCTGCTGCAGGTTTCTTCTGTGTGCTTCATTGAAACCCACTTACACTAGACTGAGGAATGGTCCTTTTTTTCGTTCTTCTTCTCTCCTCCCCCCCCCCCAACGAAATGCTGCCTTGGCTCTTGGGGGCTTTTTGAGGCAGACATCTCACACCAGTGTTTTGCCTGTCGGTCATGAGAATATCACCACATTTTGTCTGATTGATGTGGCCTTGGATGGAAAATTGGAAATCCAACCCCTGTCAGGTGCTGTTAGCCCTGTCTCTTTCCTGAAGCTCCCTGTGTGTTAGTCCAGTGAGTAAGGGAAGCACTTTGTTATTCCACTGGCAACTCAGGCACTTTTCCTTTTTTGTTTCATTGAATAATAATTGGATTGGGTCCAAACCGTGACCCGGCAGATGCGGTGAACTGGTACTCATATGTAACTGTTCTGATGGAATCAGATGGACACAATAAAATTTGGCACGACCTCCTTAAACCACCATACTTTGACATCCATCCAGGCAAAACGGGCCTCACATGCGACGCGTTTTGCCTGGGTGGATATGCCGAGAAACGGTGCACCGGCACTTCCCGAGAGTCGCATCAGCATCAATGCCGCAACTCTGACGTGATTCTGCCACGATTCTGACACGACTCTGATGCGACTTTGATGCAACTCTGAAAAAATGGCTGGCAAATGTACTGGTGGTAAAAAAAAAAGAAAAAGCGAAGTGTTGGATCCACCCAGAGATGGGTAGCAGGTACCAGCAGCCTAAGCCGTCGGTCTTCACGTAGTCCATGTATGGAGATGCTAGCCTTCTTCTCTGGCAACGCAGGCTCTTGATTTCCATAAACTTCAAATGATGAATAACAGTGCTTAACTTATGAAGAGCCTAGCCTCGTACGTTCGTTAGGGGGTACGTCGCACTACCGTCTTCACCCGAATAGAACGCCCGGTCATTACAGCCGTATTCGGGGCAACTTTCGGTCCAGATGCAGCCATAATGACCGGGCGTTCTATTCGGGTGAAGACGGTAGTCTTGTTAACTACTGCTGACCAGAACCTTCAATGAAATTATGAAAAGTTACCGAGGTAACAATCAGGCTGAGGGGGGTGAAGAAAACTATGAGCATTGAGCTGTAGTAAGAAGTGGGGCCTCAAGTTGGGGTTTGACGTTAACAAGAATTGAGGGGAAAGGGACCAAAAAATTGTCTGCAATGCATGTCCATTGAAAGGAGATCCATCTTTTCGAATCGAGTCTCTCACGAAGCAGATGTCTTTTCGTTGTTTGCTCTGTTTGGTTTGAAACCGAATCAGGATTTGAGGCAGGAGGACATCGAATGCCGACGACCATCGATCCATGGTATCCGGTGGGGCAATTTGAGGACATTGCTGTCCAGACAGACTTGTCATCATGCTTCAAGGAAAACCCTGTTGCTGTGAAAATAGACGTCCTCTGCGGCCGCGCTTCTAGTTCAGGCGAGGGCATCCTGTGCCCCTATGGTGTGGGGATTTCCAACCCTGGGTTTTGGGGAATGGTAAGGTGAACGAACTGCATTCCTCTGACCACAGACCAACCCCCCTGCTGCCCCCTTTTTGCCACCAAGGGTTGCTCTGTGAGGTATTGTGCTGATAGGTTGTGCATGGTCTCCATGCGGAGGAAACAAAATGTATGCGTCTCCCAGACTCCCACTCCCACGCATAATAAAAGCACTACCTTCTTCTTCGCCCGAATACAACGCACGGTCATTACAGCTGTATTTTTGGACTGAAAGATGCCCCAAATCACAGCTATAATGACCGTGCGCTGTATTCAGAGGAAGAAGGTAGTAAGTATTGCAGGGTTGGTGTGAGTGAAGTTGACCACTTTTCTCTCTTAGGGGTATTGCTGACTCTGGGCTACGTGGGGAGTCCTTCCTTCTCCGTCGTCAATCAAATGCATCCTGGGCAGACTATCGGGGTTCAATCTCCTGACGAGTCAGTTGAAGTCCGACGAAACAGGATGCGCAGTCTTGCTTATTTTGTGCAGTTGTGATTAGCAAAACATGACAAACACATTTAAAAAAAAAAAAAAAAAAAAAAAAAAAAAAAAAAAAAAAAAAAAAAACCATGACAAACACACGCGCACAGCCACATTGCACAGGTATATCATACCTGAGGGTGAGGGTGGCAGACACTATCATCAACATCAACAACAATTTATAGACAACGAAGTTGAACAAACAGATCATGAGGTCGATTCCCTGCTGATGTACTCAGAGATGATGGATACAATAAGGTCAGTGTCAGTGGCTGCCCCCTTTATCCAAAAAAATCCCTCTGACAACGATTCTAATGGGTGGGTGTGACTGGGTGACTCTGTGCTTTGGCTTTGCAGAACGTTGTCGAAGGCAACATATACAAGGCTGTTTTGTGGGTTCGAGCCTCTGGGAGTTTGGTGATGACTCTGTCATTGACATCTTTTGATGGCAGCGTGAACTATGGCTATACAAACTTCAGGTACATTTTTTTTTTCTATTATGGTTATAGTACCGTTATACAAAATTCAGGTCCATTCAATTCTCTACATCAAAAGAATCATACTATGTTCAATAGCAGTTGCCCCGCTTGCTGCTAGATTTGTACACAGTCCACATCAGCCTGGCGTTATAAACCCTAAAGGGCCTAAACCCTAAGCCATAAACCCTAGACTTGTCAGAGCACTGCATGCTGGTACCCTAAACCCCTCCGTTGAACACAACACGTCCCTCACTCATCATAACTGTAGCAGATCAGAAAGGTTGCGTGTATACATTCATGATCGGGTTGCGTTGCGTTCAAAGGGAGGGGTGGAGGGGGTTAGGGGAATAGTAGGCTTGTGGAATCGGTCCAAATTAGTGAGGCATTGTCTTTCAGGTTTTGCAGGTCCTCTAGGGCCAAATGTTAGCGAGATTGAGTTTTGGAAGTGTTTTGCTTCTTGGCTATTTAACACTGTTCTCATGTGGCCATTAAAAAAAAAAAAAAA